GGATTAGGAAACATTTCATGATGTTAAATGAATAGTACAGTCATTCATGAGAGAATAATCTGTCACATGAGTAAAAGTTCCACATTCTAAAGCATAAACAGTAAAAGTACAAGAATTACACCAGCTGAGAATCTGGCCCTTAGTTTTTAATTAAAGTTGTTTATATCATTGTCTTTTTGTTTCCCAGACTAAAAAATGCCTGGTGTATAAAATATGCATTTATTGACATGTTGCTATGGCACTGGACTGGGACTCAGGAAAACTGGATTCTACTCCCAGCTCAGTCACTCACCCAATGTATGACACTGGACAAGTCAATTCACCTCTCTGTGCCTCTTTTTATTTCCACGTTCTATCTATCTTGTCTATGTAAACTGTAAGCTGCTCTGGGCAGGGTCTGTCTTTTAGTATGCGTCTGTAGAGTGACGAGCAAAATGGGGCAGCGCCTCCTGCCTGCTGGCAGCTCTGCCAATTGACTCCTCCCGCACCCTCCCAGGGCCTTCTGCCCCCTGCAATCAGCTGTTCCGTGGCATGCAGGAGGTGCTGGGAGGGAGGGGGAAGAGAGGAGATGGGATACACTCAGGGGAGGGGGTGGAAAGAGATGGTGTGGATCAGGGGCAGGAAGAGGCGGGGGGTTGGGGCAAGGGTGGAGTGGGGGTGGGGCCTGGGGATGACCAGGGGTTGAGCACTCCCCCCCCCCTTTTCCTCCAGGGACAATTGGAAGCCGGCACCTGCAGCTATGTGCATGGTTAGGTCTTATGGCCCAGGGACACCGATGGCCAGGTGTGATATCAAATCTGCTTTTTGACTGTTGCTGGTGCACACTTCTGACTTCAACCTTTTGGATTTCTCTTTCAAGGGTCAATTTTATTTTGATAAACTATGCCCATGGGATGTGCACTATCCTCTTCAGCATTTGAAAAAATGAGTACAATGCTACGCTGGGCAGTGATGTTGGAAGCTGGTTTATGGCAAGTCGTGCATTACTTATTCTTTTTGTTCATGGGCAGCACTAATTCAGACAACTGATGGACACCTTTCAGTCCCTTGCTAAAAGACTTGGGGGTATGAAAAAGCAGTGGAACCTTACACTACACTGACCTACCTGGGGATTGAGCTAAACACACTGGCAGGTAAATCATGATTCCCTCAATATAAGCTTCAGGAGCTATTGGACTTGATTAGGAGACGTAAAGGGGTTACCTAGTTACACTCTGTGAGCTGCAATCTCTTTTTGGGAATCTTAACTTTTCCTGCCAGGTGTTAGCCTCAGGGCAAGCATTCTGTGTTTGGCTTGCAGCAGCCACTGCAGGCATAGCGAGACCTCACCCTTTTATGAGTTACTAGAGAGATGAAGGAAGATTTCGGGATGTGGGAACAGTTTCTGGGCCATTTTAATGCAGCGTCATCATGGACGGAAGAATGGATACTGGAGGCTGAATTAAAGATGAACTCAGATGCTTTGGGAGGTGTGGGTTTGGGGGTATTTTACCAACGTGGGGTGTGCCCAGAAATGGCCCTCCACCTGGCTGCAAAAAGGGATAGTGCAGGACATAACATTTCTGGATTTTTCCCCATTTTGGTCACTGTGGTCGTTTGGGAACAGAGTTCGCTAACAAAAGAGTGTGCTTCTGGTGTGACAGTATGGCAGTGGTACACATTATCCATCGCCAGTCCTCCAGATCACACAGGGTTACGAGGTTAGTAAGGATATTTGTACTACGATGTTTACGCTTTAAATCTGCTTCACTTCCAAACACGTGTGCAGGGTTGATACTGGAATAGTCGGTGCATTGTCTCCTTTTCAGATGGACAGATTTTGGGTTTTGGCACCAGGAGCTAGCGAGGAACCCAAACAGACGCCGCGAGCACTGCGGAACCTTGGCATATGATGGTTGCCGGTATAGCACAGAGGTCGGTGGCTCTGCAAACAGTGTGAAGCTATGAGAGAAGTTTTTAATGATTTTGTGCAATTCAGGCTCTGGAAGCCTGTCAATGATATAGCCCATTATAGAGGACCGTGTGCTGCAGTACATGCCGTCAACAACCAAACGACTGGTGTCTTCAACCATCTCCACTCACCTATCGGCCCTTACATTTGTCCGTGAGCTGAACAGTTAACCAGACCTTGCAGCAGGTTTTTTAGTTCACCCTAGGGAGGCTACACATCATCCCATCATTGTTAATATGCTTAGGGATCTGCTGCCGATCCTGGAACCCATATATTGCTGTGGACAGGCGCTGGCCTTGTTCAGAGCGGCATTTCTGGAGCTTTTTTGGAGCTTTTACGATCAGTGAGCTAGTACCTAGTTCCTGATAGTGATTCTCTGGAAGGGCTTTGGCACTAAGGAACATACAGTGGAAGGGGCGATCAATTATACTAACCTTGAGGAAGTCAAACTTAGATCAAGGTTTGGGGATGAATCCATTATTCTACAGGGACTTGGTAATCATAGAATAATCATAGAATAACAGAGTTGGAAGGGACCTCTGGAGGCCATCTAGTCCAACCCCCTGCCCAGAGCAGGACCAATCCCAACTAAATCATCCCAGCCAGGGCTTTGTCAAGCCTGACCTTAAAAACTTCTAAGGAAGGGGATTCCACCAGCTCCCTAGGTAACGCATTCCAGTGTTTCACCACCCTCCTAGTGAAAAAGTTTTTCCTAATATCCAACCTAAACCTCCCCCACTGCAACTTGAGACCATTACTCCTTGTCCTGTCATCTGCTATCACTGAGAATAATCTAGATCCATCCTCTTTCGATCCACCTTTCAGGTAGTTGAAAGCAGCTATCAAATCCCCCCTCATTCTTCTCTTCTGTAGACTAAACAATCCCAGTTCCCTCAGCCTCTCCTCATAAGCCATTTGTTCCAGTCCCCTAATCATTTTTGTTGCCGTTCGCTGGAATCTCTCCAATTTTTCCACATCCTTCTTGTAGTGTGGGGCCCAAAACTGGACACAGTACTCCAGGCCTCACCAATGTCGAATAGAGGGGAACGATCATGTCCCTCGATCTGCTGGCAATGCCCCTAATTATACACCCCAAAATGCCATTGGCCTTTTTGGCAACAAGGGCACACTGTCGACTCATATCCAGCTTCTCGTCCACTGTCACCCCTAGGTCCTTCTCTGCAGAACTGCCGCTGAGCCATTCGGTCCCTAGTCTGTAGTGGTGCATTGGATTCTTCCATCCTAAGTGAAGGACTCTGCACTTGTCCTTGTTGAACCTTATCAGATTTCTTTTGGCCCAATCCTCCAATTTTTCTAGGTCCCTCTGTATCCTATCCCTACCCTGCAGCGTATCTACCACTCCTCCCAGTTTAGTGTCATCCGCAAACTTGCTGAGGGTGCAATCCACACCATCCTCCAGATCCTGAATGAAGATATTGAACAAAACCGGCCCCAGGACCGACCCTTGGGGCACTCCGCTAGATACCGGCTGCCAACTAGACATGGAGCCATTGATCGCTACCCGTTGAGCCCAACAATCTAGCCAACTTTCTACCACCTTGTAGTGCATCCATCCAGCCCATACTTCTTTAACTTGCTGACAAGAATACTGTGGGAGACGGTGTCAAAAGCTTTGCTAAAGTCGAGCAAAGCTTTCCCTTCATCCACAGAACCAGTTATCTCATCATAGAAGGCAATTAGATTAGTCAGGCATGACTTTCCCTTGGTGAATCCATGCTGACTGTTCCTGATCACTTTCCTCTCGTCTAAGTGCTTCAGAATTGATTCCTTGAGGACATGCTCCATGATTTTTCCGGGGACTGCCCCTCTTTATTCACAGTGGGGGGGGGCCCTTCAGAACATTCCAGTTCATTACAGTTTTAAGATGGGAATTGACGAAGTTGGGGCTCCCAGTGCATGAATTTGGTTCCCACTCATTTAGGATCATGGTGGCAATAGCAATGGTCCAGCTTGGTCTGAGATCTAGGGCAATTCAGACAATTGGGCACTGGCATTCTGAAGCATACAGAATGTACATGAGACCACTGGTAGGGAATCAATGTTAATTTTCTGTAGTGTTTTCATTTCAGATGCTGGCAGATAGGCCAGGCAGATTGTGGTGTGGAGCTATGGGCACTGTATCATTTACTTGGTGCACAGGTGGGCTTCCAGGTTGTCTGGAGGTTCACAGCTGGGCCTCAGTGGTGATGCAGTCCTGAGCCAGCATGGGAGGAGACCAGGTGATTCCGCTTCTATACCCTGTGGGGGCCCATGAGCGGGCACCAGATATAATTGTGGCTCATCTTGGGGAAAATGCTTTGGGAATGTGTAAAGGGGTAGACTTCAGGATCAGAGCTAAGAAGGACTTGGGGCAGATCCTGGAACTTTGCACAGGAATAAAAAATTGTGTGGTTGGACATGCTGCAATGCAGGGTGTGTTGAGTTGACATGGCTAGGAGGTACGTGAATAGGTGTCATGGGGTGGGGGTGTTGATAATTCTGCATCAGGACATAGCATACATGGCACCGAATTATCAGGGAGGGTGGAGTCCACCTGTCAGACTTGGGAGGGACACGTTTTTGGGCCAATAATAAAGGGGGCATTATGAGATGTCTGTGAAACCGGCAAGGTATGGGAGGGAGGCAGCCACGTTAATAATTGTTGGTGCCTCCTTGTGGCAGATGTCCTGTGCAGGTACTCCATGGGGAAGGGGTATAGTGAGCAGATAAAATGGATTGGTAAAGGATTTAAAGGTGGTATTCTTTAAATGAGTGGCAAGGGGGAGGGATAGTCTTATGACTGGAGACAACCCCATTTTTATAGCCCCCCCAACTCTCATTCGAGGGGTGTGCAGGGTAAAGTCCCTAGCAAAGGGTTGGCTGGGAAGCAGGATGGGTAAGGGGGGGCTGATGGAAATCTCACCCTGGTATATATTGAAATGATTATGGAATTACCTGCACTGTACACTTTTATCTGCTGGGTACTCCATTTAAGAATAATGTTGCGGCCTAATTAAACCACATACAGTGTCTCCTATCCTTCTTCCAGCATAGCCGGTTAACTCAGTTGCTCAAATGTCCAAGGAAAGTGAACACAAAAAGGATATACGGTAAGTACTGCTGTAATAGCTGTAATTTGCTATTACATTTGAGCTAATACTTGTGGAAATATTTTTGTTTCAGTTTTCATGTAGTTCTACTTGTTATGTCACAGAGAACAATTTAGTTATTAACAGACTGGCGACCCTGCACAAGCGCTTTAACAACCAAAACAAACAACAAAACAGAAAACCTTTCAAATATTTTCCAAAACTTTGAGAGAATTAATATCCTGAGTGCTAAAGTCTAAACAGTAAACTTTATACGTGTTTTGACATGTATAAAACCTTTGTGTGGTTATCCATTCCATTAATATTGCATCACTTAGGGTTTTTCTATGAACTGTGTTGGAGAAGACATTTACAAAAGATTGGAGAACAGATTTTCATTACCATTTCTAAAAGATGTAATTTATCACGTGGACGATGACACACACATCCTGAGAATTTTAAGATATTGAATGAAGTAGAGAAATATATTTTGCAAAGGACACTGCTATTTGCTACAGAATATGAGATTTGACATTTCTGAAAGCTGTCCTTGAGCATTACATCTCTTAATTTTGGTCTCAACATTATCAAATAGTACCCTCACAAAAAAAGTAATCCCTTTTTATGTGATAGCAGGAGTTCACAGACTATGGTTATAATTTTCAAATCTGGGTACCTAAACGATAAAGAACTTAGGCACCTAAAGAATAGCCTAATATTCAGAGGTGCTACGCATCCACAGTTCCCACTGAAATCAAATTCTAACGTTAGTCAACCGATGTTTGAAAATGTAACCTTTATATTTTAATTGCTTGAATCTTAAACATATTCATAACAAGACTAGCAGTTTGTTTACAGATTGTGCATTACTATGTGAAATGGGGGAAAGAAGTTTTAAATAGCTAGCTTTCATATGGTCTTATTGGAAAAAAATATATATAGACAATGTTATGACTTGACCATTTTAACAAAATAAAACCATCCAAATCAATGCAAAATATTTCCTACAGAGTATGCATACATAACTAAATTTTACAAAATGATGTGTAACAGTTAGTGTCAACACTGTACAGAAGAATGTATGTAAGCATAATGGAATGGAAAGTAGCTGAACTATATTTTAGGTTGCAACAATATTAAAGCAAAATTTCCATAGTTCTCTAAAATCCACAAGCACACAGACTGGCCTGCACATAGGTATGCTAGGTAAGGACACATGGTATAGTTTGTTTATTAATATGGAGTCATTTGGTTAAGGGATTACCAGAGATGTTACCATCGCCACCCAATAACCCATTTTTAACATTTAATCTTTCTTAGAACAATTCTTTTGTGCAGAGATAGGGGAAAAAGCAAAAGCAAAAAACAATGGGAAATATCCACGTTCTATTTATATCATTGAGCTGCCCCTGCTGAGATCTACTGGTGAGCACCAAGAACCAGCTCCAAATTTCAATAACTTATTAGACTTTGGTTTTGGTTCCATGGAATGGTATCCCAGGTTGCTACTGTTCATAGATAGGACACCAGCACTGTCTAATGAAACTTGGAGGGAAGAAAAAAAGTAGACTATGCTACAACACATCATTTGGTTTAGGGCAAGTTGCACTGACCTGGAAGACAAACTATCATGAGTTCAAGTAACCGCTTTTGATAACTGTTGGTAATATTTCTGTGCACTTCACAAGCTCTTATAATGATCAAAGCCTCATATCCCTATCTAGAAAAAAGTCACTATGATTGCCTCACATTTTGCAGAAAAGCAAACAGAGTTATTCCTAGCAAAGAATAATTTTTTCCTCTATAAAAAAACGCCTCCCATTCTCCCCTCACTAATAATATTTATAACTGCCATCCCTTTTAAAATAGTCTGGGATCTGAAAGTTAAGCTGTGTTTTTTCTAGCTTCTGCCTCTTCTTTAAAATTGTTTTCTTTAGGGGGGGGAAATGTGTTCTCTTCAATTGTGCAAAGTGGCAACAAAGCTACATGGCATTTTAAATATACACGTATTTCAATGCCCAGCATGAACCCAAAAAGTGCTAAAATTGTTTCAGAACATACCTGAAGAAAGAATGAGACTTTCCACTCATTTTTTACCCTGTTGGAGCTTTTCTTTGAGCACTTCTTAGTATTACAGGGTAACGTGTGTACAATTTGTTTCGAAACCCAACACATTTCAATAAAATCAACTTAAATGTTCTGAAAGTTCTATTATAGAAAGGAGATTTTTAGGTTTGCTTCCACATAGAAATGGATAGCTAGTTTATTCAGCATTGCACAGTACGGAACACTCACAGATATAAATGCTTCCGTCACATTAGAAAGGCCTGCTTTTCTTGTTGCTCTGTATTTGTGCCAAACAACTATTTCATGGTCACCTGTTTTTCTGCACAGCAGTTTGCAGTAAGATCAAACTCTCACTTCTTCTAGTATACAGAGTGGCTTCTAGATAATGAGCACATGCTTTTATGAGCAACTGGACTATTACATGGAGCACAAAACGTAACATCACAAGCGCGGGAGATTTGAGGCTTTATATCCAGGAGAATGAAATTTGACAGAAATATTTCTTAATTTAGAATCTATTTTGTTTGCCTCATCATTCTACTTACTATGTACAGTGATACTTGCTTTAAAGTCTTTCTGATTAATCTACAGGAGTGACTGCTTCAGGGCAAACATAGGGTAGCCAGAGATTAACTGCTCTGAGAGGGAGAAAATCATTCAGAAGAGGGAGAAGGAATTTTAGGAGTATTATGACTCCTTCTCCCTCTTGCTCACACCCAGGGGTGCTGGAACAATATTTATAGTGGGGATGATGACAGCCATTGAATCAAACTGTAAATGGAATCCACTTCAAGCCAGGGGATGCAGTAGCATCCCCAGCACCTATGCACACACCAGTGTTTTCTCTGGATGGTCAGGAAGAAGAGTCAAAGTGGAACACCCCTTTCACAAGTTCTTCATTCTTTTGTCTCTCTCACAACTGAGGTAGGTGATTGTGGAGCCTGCCCTGAGAATAAGTGGGGAGAGGAGAGCAAACACAAGAACTTAGGAGAGAGGGGACATGCATCTCCACTGAATGAACAGTGCCAGTTTAACTTCTGTGTTTTCTTCTCCCTTGGGGAATGATGGGAACACTGAGCCTTGGGGTGGCTCTGGGGGGATCAGATTGTTGCTTTGGTGGGTGTGCATGAAAACTCTGGGCATGGGGGAGGCAGTTACATCTTGTGTAAAATTAATATGGCTAATATAATGTTATGGAGGTTAAACTATATGGAAGGAATTTGCATTTTCCCAGGATGTGTGCAGTGCATATTGGAGAAGGGGTAAAAGAAATGCAAATAAAACATGGTACTCCAAAAGGAGGCAAAATAGGTTGTGCTTTCTTTTTCAGATCTCTGTGTTTTGGAGCAGGAAATGAAAGTGGAAAGTAATCAGAACTCTAGTGGAAGTGGAATGTTTCCCTTTTAAGACACTCTCTAAACTGCTAACAGCTTTGGATCCAAAAGCAAGCTAGTAAGCCTCTGTGTGTAAATGCAAATTACCTAGCTGATGGGCATAAAACAGCTGCAAATAACGAATACATCTGGTCAGCAAACAAGCTACTAGAAGACTCAGATTATGGCCCTCCAGGAAAGGGAGGTGAAAAAACAAGTCAAGCCTGAAAATAAGGGGGACAGGTTAACCTTAAGGGGTGTGTGTGTGCGGGGGAATGGGAACAGGGAATGGGGGTAAGGAAATTGGAATCATGTTTGCTAAAGGGGGAGATGGGAACAGGGAATGGGGGTAAGGAAATTGGAATCATGTTTTGCTAAGGTCGGGAATGGGAACAGGGACACAGGTGCATGGCTCTGTTGTGTCAGAGCTGGGAAGGAGGATACTAAGGAAGGAAACTGGAATCATGCTTGCTGGAAGTTCACCCCAATAAACATCGAATTGTTTGCACCTTTGGACTTCGGGTATTGTTGCTCTCTGTTCATGCGAGAAGGACCAGGGAAGTAAGTGGGTGAAGGAATAAGCCCCCCTAACACTTCTCTCTGCTGCTTTTCTCAGAGATCCAGTCAGCAGGCAGCTCAGGCTGAGATAGCCGAAGAGCAAACCTCCTTCCTCCTGCTATGGCTGCCTCCTTCACCTCAGAGAACTGAATTGCTCAATCACTTCTGCCTCTCTCAAGCTTTTTTCAGTGCACATGTAAAAAATTAAAAAGTGGCAGTTTGAATTTCATGTTTTTTTCACAGAAATTGTACATTTTTCTTGGCAAATGTTCAGTGTCTCCTTTTCCACTAAACTCCATGGCAACTGAAAAAATCATAATAAAAAATTCATCATCATCACCAAGCTCAGGATTCAGCAAGCCAAATTCTGCCAGTTGCAGCTGGGCAGCTCCAACCTCTTCATATTCTGCCCTCAGGAACACACAGTCAGTGCTCTTGCCCTTCAGTGGGGTTTTCACAGGAATAACAGAAAGAATACTATTTGAATACTGTGAGATATACAAGGGACCTATGGGGCAAGTAAAGCTCAGATTTTTTTTTACTACAATTATTATTTATATAAATTAAAAAAAAATGTATATAAAGATGCCTGAGACTCTAGGAGTTCTAACAATCCATTAATGTTATAGTGTAACCCCAACAACATTAAAACAATCAGCCAGACAGGAACACAGGCAGCCAAGTAATGTGTTCCTTTCTACCCCTTCTTGCAGCTCAATAAATATACTCAGCCCTCTCCAAAAGACCTATCAAATGGAAATCATAATTCTGTTGATTGTGTGCAAGCTAGAAAAGAATCAAATTTCCTCTCCTGGAGCTACGTTGGTTCTGCTGGGCTAACAGAAGTAAACAAATCTTCCACTTTTTACCACTATCAGTAAAGCAATGGAGCTATGATTCAAAATAAACACAGGAAGCCGAGCTGCTATGAGAAAAGGTGCCATTTTTACACAGTCATTTTTCCAAGTAGCTTTCGGTCCAGCAGTTTCATAAAGACAATATACATCTATACGTCTGGACTGCATCATTTCTTTCATAACTTTAATGAGTTTAGTGTAAATGATGGCTAATTTGACATTTTATTTTGCACTTTGCTAGCAGTGCTTTTATTTTATCCTTTTTCATGGCAGTGATAACCGAGAGGAGATAACTGCATCACACATTCTGTATTCCCACATACAGCTGTTGAGCAACACTCAAATCGTTTTCCAGATCATTAAGTGCATTCCCCACCTAAAAGACTGAGATGTTAATAATAAAGCAGTGATAATTCAAACAAGTACATGCAGGTGCAAACCTGTCAAAAGGCAAAGCACTAGAAGAAGAACTGGTTTCTAGCCATCACTTGTAATCCTCTTCTTTGAATGCTATGTTTGTGTATTTGGTATGTGTCCCTCCTGTACAGATGGCATATTACGGTCTCACACTAACTGAATATTTGAAAAACCAAAAGAAAAAAAAAAAACAAATTCTATCTAAATTAAATGACTAACAACGGATCGTGCAGAGTGGGGGGGGGGGAGAGGAGAGGAACATTTTTTCAAAATCAGATGCAGTGAGTGTACCCAAAGAAATATACATGCACATTTTTGCATACAAAAAATGAATATGTGTGTGCTCAACTATTAAGTGTCAACTATTTATTTTTTATGCAGCAGCACAGATTTTCTGAGGGCACAGGATGATTTCATGGGGAGGTATTTGAGGATCTGTCTGTTCCCTGTCCATACCCTCCAGAGTCCCAAATCATAGCAACTCTTTTGGCCAATAAATACTGCTTTGGATACCTGCCAGACAGGGTAAATTGTAAGCAGTAAGAATCCTCAAAGGATGAATTTGGTGCTTCAGCAGCATTCCAAAAGCCCCCGCCCCCCACTTTGGTGGCAAAATATAAACTGCTCTGACTTTCTGAAATGTTTCATAATTTGTGTGTCCAAAAATGATATCCATTCTTCTGTCGAACATAGTACAGCAGATCATGCATTGGGAGCTTTATGCACAAGCTTTACTTAGTCACATCCTAAACAACCATTCTGATGTTTAAACCCTCAAATTACATTGTTTTATTTTGAGTCATTGTAGCTATAACCTCTATTTTAGTCACTATATTATTTTTTTTTCCTTTTTATGAAATCCTGCGCTTTCTGGAAAATACATAATCACAAAGGTTTATAAAAAGACAGAGTAGTGTGTCATTAGGTTATAATACTGAAATCCCTTAGCAGGATATAAACCTGCCTAGTATACCTCAAGCTATTTTATTGTTTTGGTCTAAGCCTTACATTTGGAAAATGTAGGCGTCCTAGAACCACAGGTGACAATTTCAGAACAGTCAATTCAGTTCCTCACATTTTGATGGTTGATAGACAAAGTTCTGTCCAATTTGCTTTGCAGTTCGAACTTTATAAACAAAAGGTCTGTCTGCTCTGTGGGGAACAAGATTGTGTGAAACCATTCATAAGGGTAGAAATTTGCTTCAATATCCTTGGACAGAATGCCCCCTCTCCATCACTCTTCTGCAGCACACTGTGTGCTAACTGAATGGCACCATACATCTTAGAAGTAGCTGCATTTCAATGGCACTGTTTGTAAAGCAGCTCTTTAGGATTCCTTGGAATGAAAAGCAGTGAATACATATAAAAATACTACTCCTTGGAATTTAACTAAGTGGGAATACTGATTTTGTGTGTCTGTGTGTGAGAGAGAGAGAGAGAACTTCAGCCACAGTTTATGCTGTGGCATGTCATATTTCATTCTTTACAGATTCCTAGTAGCCCTGAACTTTTCCCTGTATTATCTTTCACACAGACAAATTTGGACAGCTGGCTTCAAAATCTCTGTCTGGGCTATTGAAATATCACCTATTTATTGGGAATACCCAGCACATTATTTCAAAATGATGAAGGAAAATAATTGGAGACTAAGCCAAAGAGGCACAGAAATGTAGTGCTGAGTCGGCATTGTAGAGGTCCCAGAACATCCCTGTTTTAAATAATCCATCTATAACATGAGCCAGTTTACCCTACCTCAGAGAGGTATTGTGAACATAAGAACGGCCATACTGGGTCAGACCAAAGGTCCATCTAGCCCAGTATCCTGTCTTCCAACAGTAGCCAATGCCAGGTGCTTCAGAGGGAATGAACAGAACAGGCAATCATCAAGTGATCCATTCCCTGTCGCCCATTCCCAGCTTCTGGCAAAACTGAGGCTAAGAACACCATCCCTGCCCATCCTGGATAATAGCCATAGATGGACCTACCCTCCATGAATTTATCTAGTTCTTTTTTGAACCCTGTTTAGTTTTGGCCTTCACAACATCCTCTGGCAAGACTGTTCCACAGGTTGACTGCATTGTGTGAAGAAAAATACTTCCTTTTGTTTGTTTTAAACCTGCTGCCTATTTCATTTGGTGATCTCTAGTTCTTGTGTTATGAGAAGGAGTAAATAACATTTCCTTATTTACTTTCTCCATACCAATCATGATTTTATAGATTTGTATCATAACCACCCTTAGTCAGCTCTTTTCCAAGCTGAAATTTAACTCATGTTTATAAAAACACTCTTTAGGCCCTTGATTAAAAGAAAATCATCCTGGAATTCCTAAAATGCTTTATTTTATGTAATATGTTCTGCAATAAAAGGCCAGTTGAGAACGGACAGCCTTAACTCTGAGCTTCTTTACATTTTGTGATGAGTGTTGTTATCCTTATCTCTGACTCTAGTCTATTCTGAGAGCTTACTGTGTGGCTGTGATGTATTTACTGTTACATGTTCTCTTGATGCGATGCTGGAATAATAACCAATTACTGTCCAGTCTCTAACTTCCCTTTTGTGTCCATTCCAGATGCACTGAGCCTTGGTCTACACTACGTGTTTAGGTCGAATTTAGCAGCATTAGATCAATTTAACCCTTCACCCGTCCACACGACGAAGCCATTTTTGTTGACTTAAAGGGCTCTTAAAATCGATTTCTGTACTCCTTCCCGATGAGGGGATTAGTGCTAAAATCAACATTGCCGGGTCAAATTTGGGGTAGTGTGGACGCAGTTCAACGGTATTGGCCTCCAGGAGCTATCCCGGAGTGCTCCATTGTGACCTCTCTGGACAGCACTTTGAACTCTGATGCTCTAGCCAGGTACACAGGAAAAGTCCCGGGAACTTTTGAATTTCATTTCCTGTTTGGTTAGCATGCCAAACTCAGCAGCACTCAGCTGCACAGGCGACCATGCAGTCCCCCCAGAATCGTAGAGCATAGAAAGTTTCTACGCTCCCCCTATCGTCTCCGTCCCTGAGGTTATCGCAGATTAGAAAGCGAAAAAAAAGCACTTGCAATGACGTTTTCCTAGCTCACTCAATCCTCCCACACTGATAGGACACAGCTTAATACATGGAGGCATTCAGTGGCAGAGGCCAGGAAAGAATTGCTGCGTTTCCTTAACAGCAAAAGTATCATGCCTCGCTAGCGATCCTGCCTGAGCCATATCACTGTGTCACATGCACTCCGCGCTGTGTCAGCCTTGGGCAGGGGCATGACCGCTTTGTGAGCAGGAAGGCCATAGATATAGACATTGCATTACGTAGCTTCTGTAGCTAGAGAAACCATTCCTGTGCATTTGGCAAAGTCTGTGTCAAAAAAAGAGAAGTCCCATTCAAGTTGGGTTTCTGTAGTGAAGGGGTTATCATGTTTGCCTAACACACAGAAGGTCCCCGCTTTGAAAGCGGGCAGAAACAGGTTACTGTTTCTTTCTCTGACTCTCCTCCTGCATTTTTAGTCTTAGAACAGACCTCACTGTGAAATTTTACTTTGAAGTATATCAATTATGAGTTAAATAATAAGGAATCTCTCTCTAAGTTATAGTCCTGGGTCCCTTACCCTTTCAGCTGCTCTGATAAATTAACATTTTTCTTAGGGGAGGGGAAAAATTTTCATGAAGCCTTTTATAGGGACTAAATGCTATCTAGGACTCTGAAATAATCTTAACGTGGCCCATAGAGTGCAATCCTTCATTCTGGATTTGTCATTCCACAAGTTGAACTGCTCCTTACTACTGTCCAGGCTTCATGAGCCATGGGAGCAAGGAGTAGGCTGGGGTAGGTGTGACCACATGGTGCTGCCAGCTGGGAGAGCAGCCTGAGGCAGAAGCCTCCATCTCGCATGATATTCCAGGCAGGACTGAATCTCCATGAGACAAAACATAAAGAAGAGAATGACCTGGAGTCACTCCCATT